TTGAAACAGCTAGACTTACTTTAGCTATTTACATAGCAAAATACATACATAATACATAAACACTCACGCCTGTCACCCAGAGGGGTACTTGCCTCCTTCACATCCATACACCTACGCATACATGCTCGTCGGTTAAGGGTACTCCTAATTTGGCCCGTTTTTAATAAATAGCCAATTTGGTCGATAAATTTTCACTGCCATTCACTTGTGCAACATAAATTTTCTTTGTCACTCTTTCCTCATTCATTCTTTCCACATGACCAAACCACCGAAGCATTCCTTTCTTAATCCTGGTCACAACATCATCTTGCAAACCACACTCTTCTCTTATTACACAATTTCTTACCCTGTCGTTCAGATTCAGCCCTAACATACTCCTTAATGTTCGCATTTCTACTGCGTTGATTTTACTCTCGTGCTTCTTCTGCCACACCCAACTTTCACTACCATACGTTAAAGTAGGAACCAACACAGCATTGTGAATTGCCATACGTGCCTTTTTTTGACACATTTTGACTCTTCACAATAGAGTGTAGAGCCCCATTTACTCTATTTCCCGCATAGCAACATGTTGTATGGTATTTTGGCTATGGGGACACGAGACTGATACTGAAATTATATTTATTTTACAGAAGAGAGCAATTAGAGCAAACTGTAATTTAAAACCCAAAGGAGTCGCTCAGACAGAAATTTAAGGAAAATAATATTATACCTTTGGCCTTTGGAATATTATAACTTTGGCCTCTCAATACATTCATGAAAATTTTATGTACGTACACAAAAATAAAAGTAGTTTTACAAAAATAAGTGATATTCATTTTGTAAATACTAGGAAAGGACACAAGCTAGTAGCACCAGTTACTCGACTTTACCGAGTCAGTAATTCAGTCTTGGGGCGATGTATACGCTTTTACATCAAAATCCCATAAAATATACATAATTTTACCTGCACAAAGTTCAAAAACTTTATTAAACTAAGTTTGTTTAAAGGGGGTTATTTTGATATTAAGGAATTTATGGATAATAATAACCGCTGGAAAAGATGATAGCTACCAAGCTATTTTTAATTTGTTTTGTCTTGTTAATTGTAACATACATGATTGTAAGCTGTTATTTAAAAAAATTGTTCAGCTGGGTTTCTTGCTGGTTCTTCCAGAACAGGTTTTTTCCTAACCAATGGTAAATTAAAAAAAAGATCATTAAGCATTATTTATAATCTAAGTCGTTTTCAAAAAATAAAAATGAGCGATAAAAATGGGGACCGTTGAGTAAACTACCTACCTCTTAGCTACCTACCTACACGTTATATAGTACCTACGCTAAAAATGTATAGGAAAACAATAGAGTATGTAGCAAATTTAAGTTATTCAATATAGTAATTTATTAGAGAATTGCCACATATTCAATTAAGAAAAATCTTTGAACTATAGGAAGGTGATGTAACAATGTTCTGCCGTCCCTGCTTCAGACGAAGATTATTAGAAAACCGTGTAAGAATTTCTGTAAAACGGACATATGGATTCGGCTAGCTTGCACTGAAACATTGTAGCGGCTTTCCCCAAATCACTTTGCCTAATTGTTCAAATGCTATTGGCTTCTAAATATATGAGATCAGTGTGCATTAAAACGTAACTATCATCATGATATTTTGTACTGGTGAGCTATTGAATAATACAGAACTTGAAAGTGTCATTATTAAGTCGATAAAAGACATAGACGTGAAAAAGTATGTTAACCTAATAATTAATACCACAAAATTCTCCAATTCAGAATATATTGTTGCTCACCATAATTAATGCCACAAGCGCCATCTAGTATCGAGTAACAGAACTAGGAGAGCTTTCTAGAGAAATCCATACTAGAGCATTCTAAACCTAGTCGGTTGGGACCGTTATGTGCTCGAGCATTCTAGATGTTGTAGTGTTATGCTATTTACATATCATTTTACACTATTTTAAATTTATTTTTCCATTCTGTTTTTGATTTTCTGCATTCACCTCAAAACTGGATATTTTGCATCACCTTTATTTCCATAGGATCCTGTAACGTTTTTTAAACCATAAGAACACAATAACAAATCATTTTCACTCCGTACTTTCACGCTATCAGCACTTTTTAAATCGGTATCGATGGAATTTACCTTTTTCGATCTTTTATTTAGTTCTCCGTAACTCTGCAATTTCGGGCTTTGTGCGCGCTGTTGCGCTACTTTTTTTCCTATATCAATAATATCTCATTTTTCACTTAAATTTTGCCGTTTCTCTATTACGAGCCTGAAACCAAAATTTGACATGTTTTGACATCGTTGTTTATCTGGTTGTTATGGCAATTTTTATTCAAATTCGTTACCGGTCTGATGTTTTTACTTCAAAACTTCCACAAAAATACTCTTTTCTTCTTGGCCATTTACAAAAATTTGTTTTTAATTTAAATAATTTCCCGTTCTTATTTCAGATTCGTCGTCGAGCGCGGAGCTCTCTAAAAAAAAGTATAAAAGCCGAACTATCAGCCAATAAAGTGAGTCTCGCTTCAGCTTTCAAACTAGAAGCGTCTCCTAAAGGCCTTATCCCGGGGCCGCACTGCCCCGGGATCCTGCAAGCTTTTGCCTTCACTTGAAGTCGTCGCCTAGCCACGCCTACGCCTCCACCTACTAGTGCCCGCGCTATCTTTAGCCGCTGTGCGTGCTTGCTTCAAGCGCTGCGTGTGCCTACTCCGGGCGCTGCGTGTGCCTACTACGGGCGCTGCGTGTTCCTACTCCGGGCGCTGTGTGTACCTAGTCCGGGCGCTGTGTGTGCCTACTTCAAGCGCTGCGTGTACCTACTCCAGACGCTGCGTGTGCCTACTCCGGGCGCTGTGTGTGCCTAGTCCGGGCGCTGTGTGTGCCTACTTCAAGCGCTGCGTGTGCCTAGATCAGGCTCTGCACACCTACCAAAGGCACAACCTGTGCATACTCCGTGAGCGGTGAGCACCACTGCCAAGCGCGGTGTGCCACCTTGGTCTTCGGGCTCCGTTTCAGTACTCATTTATCTTTGTTATTTTTTTTAAATAATTGTAATTCACGTCACCCATCATCATCTTCATATTTTTTTTAAAACTGTAAATATCTTTTAAAATTTTAAATTAATTATTCGTTTTTTTTTCTATTTTTGTTGTTTCGTTGTTGTTAGGTTAGGTTCTTTTTGTTTTTGATTGTCGCTTTACGACAATGTTTTAGTGTAAAAGACCCTATATATGGCCTATAAGGACCGCGACCGAGTTAGTATTGAATTGGCGATTCAAGCGAATACTTAGCAAGCTCGTAACAATATAAATGTGGATTTAGAACAATCGAGAAATGAGCTAGAGCTAGAACAAGAACGATCAATCTTTTAGTTACAAATTAAAAATTAGTTCTTAGCGTTCACACCAAAATAATCCCAACGAGCAAGAGTGAGAACATCAGGGACTATAATTCTTGCATATTTTCCAAAGATATTTAGATAGCATAAAAGTGTTCGTTGTTCATTCGTATGTGTCTGTAGCAGGTAAAGATACGACGATATGATGCAAGAAGAGAGTCCATATTCTTTGTAGTTTCCTCAACACTACATTTCACTGTAGTTGCAATTTCCTACTACCATGTTTTACGATTAAAATTTTTATAATTTTTATCGTTACGCTCTCACAGGTCTATCAAATTACGGTAGGTCTCCAAAACGAGCAAACACTTTTCTTGAGACCAGTCCATGATAACCACGTTTATTACCTCTGATTTGCTAGAACACAAGAACGCTTTGAAAAAGCGAACACATCCGAATACGAAAGAACGCTCCAGAGTCTAGTCTAGACTACTGTTCGCTTGCTCTTGCCCCGTTTACATCAAGCGCATGAGCGTTCTTAGAAAATTCCATAGAACCTGTGCGAGAAGAGCTAGAACAGCGATAGAATGCTCTGCCTAAAACATTTGGGGATAAAATCCGTAAAAGTAGTTTTAATCAATTAATCGCTTCGTTTTATTTTAGTTAAGTACTTAAATCGTAACTATTACTGAATAATTATATTTATTTGTATTAACATAATTATCAGTTTTTTTTCATATGTGTGTGTACTAAGGTATACAAATTCTATAAGAATAGGAATGTTAGGCGACAGTAGCCTAATGGCAGGGCGCGGACCGCGAACTCAAAAGGTCGTGGGTTCGAATGCACCATTCGACTACTGTCGTGAACCACTCCTAACACAAGCATTTTCAGCTTACCAGGAGAGGTTAAAGGGAATATTAGTAATGTTAATTAATAGGTTTACTAATATTTTTTTTAAAAAAAGAAAAGAAAGAAAGAATGTTATAAGCACAATTTGTGGTCGTTTACTCGAACGTTTAATTCTGTTAGGTTAGTTTGTCCACCATCTTTACAACCCATCACCAGTCTCCTGCTGAATATAGACCATCAAGCAATATCCCATAGCCTTGTGGTATTATTATCCATGGAAATACAAAACCATTGTTATAAAGCCTTGATAAATATTTTTATTCTTCCATCTTTTAGAAATATTTACTTATATTAAATGATGCATCTAATACAGAATACAGTGATGATAAATTTACTATAAGTCAAAATAAGATTGCCGTTTTATGACTCGCGACACTAAGTCAAAACATTAGAAAGATGTTATGTAAGATTAGCCATAATTTGTTCTTGAATAATAACGGAGTAGTAAATCCGATCACAGGACATTAGGAACACGTGTACAAGCGGCACGGTTTGTGAGCGCTGACCTTGACATATGTCATTTTTTTTTTTTTAAAATGGGGGTTTTTGTACATTTTTTTTTATTTTTTCAGGTTTAAAAAAATTATATTAACAAAACACTTTTTTTGTTCAATATTCCTATCAGCAGTGATGCCAACTTAGCAACTTTATAGCTAGATCTAGCTATTATTTGGTGACAGACAGCTACAATTTAATAAAACTTGTAGCTAAACTTTTTAGCTACTTTTTCTAGCAACTTTTCATTTCATCATGAGACGTGAGTCTATCGAAATTCGTCGAGTAGTGTGCCGAGTCGAAAGAAAAAAAAATATGGTGCTACGGTAAGTACAGGTCGATGCTGGCCGAGAATTTCCTGTTTCCTCTGCGACAGAATACTTAGTAAACTAAAATAGTACGCGCTATTCGTATTCTACCTTGTGTTGTTTTGTTTTATCCGTATAAAACTAATTTAATTTAAGTTGAAAATGGATTTACCTTTGAAAAAAAACCTACGCACAGAAATACAGACCGGAGTGGGAAAATATGGACGAATTTAAAGGTTGGCTAAAATCGGCAAGTGGAGACTCAAGCAAAGCATTTTGTACATATTGTTCTACGGAGATTCTTGCAAAACTGTTTGATATAAAGAAGCATGCTCAGACCAAAAAGCATGAACAGAAAGTAGAGTTCAAAACAGGTACGTGAATGAATTTAAAATTCGTTTTGTTGATATCAGACTCTATCGATGGGAAAAATGAGTTTGATATTTTCATTTTACACATTTTTTAGGGTCAAATAACATTTTGCGTCTAGGGTCCTTATGTATATTAATTTTGTCTTTACAGGCAATAAAGAAATTCCTTTCAAAGTTGTACCAAAAGAACATTTATTTAGACCTTGCGATGAATCTGAAGGCGCGTTGACCTTATTTATTGCCGAGCACTGTTCTATATTAAGTGTTGACCATTTAGGTGAACTATGCAAAATGTGTTTCAAAGACTCCAAAGCTACACAGGAGCTTAAATTGCATCGCACTAAATGTACAGAAATAATGAAAAATGTGGCTGATGTCTCACTTTCGCAAGGAGCTCTTAGATGATATTGGAAACCAAAAGTTCAGCATTATAATGGATGAGTCCACAGACTTCAGTGTCAGTAAACACCTTGGTCTTGTAATTAGGTATTATAGTGCCGCACAGGAAAGGATAGTAAGCTCATTCCTGGAACTAGTTTCTATTGAGAGTGCAGATGCTAGGGGTATCGTTAATGGCTTGGTATCATGCTTAGAGAGTCACAACTTAGATATCAAACAAATTATTGGAATTGGAACTGATAATGCATCTGTTATGACAGGCATTAATAACGGGGTTCATGCAATCCTAAAAAGAGAATATGATATAGAAAATTTGATACTGATACGATGTGTCTGCCACTCGTTGCAGTTAGCAGTGACCCATGCCTCCGAAAATACTCCGCCAAGAAATTTAGAGTTTTTGGTTAGAGAAATTTATAAATGGTTTTATGTCTGTCCTAAGCGGCGAGATGAATACACAAAAATATACGAACTTATGAACTGTGGCGAAAGTCCGGTGAAAATCACCAAGGTTTGCGATACACGTTGGCTTTCAATAGAGCCAGCAATAGCAAAAATTGTGACAAAATGAGAAGAATTGAAAATACATTTAAATTTAGCAAGAGGGAAAGACAATTGCTGCTCAGCTGAGCTTATTTACAACATGCTCGAAGACAAAAGAAATTATTTATATTTTGTGTTTCTGAGAAGCGTTTTAAATGATGTTCAAACAGAAATTAAATCATTTGAAAGTGAAAACATCCATTAAAACTTCACAACACTGCTAGAATCAGTGAGCCAGAGAATTTTAATGCCAAGACCTGCAAACAGAAAATTATAGATCCAATAGAGGCCTAAGCCTTATCTTGGCTACATGTTTAAAACCGCTTAACATAATTTAGACTCCGAAATTTTAAATGCAATATGACAACGCTGCTCCGCCTTCTTACTGCAATTACTTAAGGAATTGCAACAAAGGCTTCCAGACAACTACAAGCAGCTAGAATCAATGGCGTTGCTAAGTCCAGAGGAGGCAATAAAACCAATCAAGTCAAACACTATCATCGACGTTGCTGAATTTTTGGAATTTACACCAGAAATAATAGACAAGATAATGCAACAATGGTACATTCTACATATAAATAAGTGACATTCTGAAGAAATAGTTCAGTTTTGGGTCGAAGTAAAAAAAATTAGAAATTCTTCCGGTGACAACATATATCAAGATATAAGTACTCTTGCTTTAACTTGCCTTTTACTGCCACATTCTATTGTAGAGGTAGAAAGGTTATTCTCTCAAATGAATTTAGTTAAAAATAAGCAAAGAAACAGAATGAGTTTGAAAACTCTGAACTCAATCCTCTGCATTAGAGACTCCCTCATGAAAAGTGGTAAATGCTGCTATAGCTCTATGTTTTGCCTGAAGACGTACTGCGTAAAATGGGCACCGTTGAAATATATTTGCAATCATAGAAAGATACTGAACCTCAGCCATCGACATTTTCCTTTTGATTAAGTTATTTTTTATTTTTTATTCAATAGCGTACACAGGACTTAATTTAACTTCTCGTTGGAATTAATGAATAAAAAGATTATCAGAAACTGGCATTTTATTGTGACCTACTTATCTTCTGTAACATTTCGCAACTTCTAGCAAATTTTTAGGGTAAAAAACCGGAAATCTGACATTTTGAAAAAGTCCAGCTACTGGGTCGTATACAGAGAAACCTATAGACAAATTGACGCCTTTTTTTCGCATTCGCACACGAAAAAGATAGATTTATGTATATGTCTTGCATAGAAATGAGACAGAGCGGTGTGGTTGTTTGTCCCTTTCTCTGTGCTGGTGTTTTTGTTTAGCAAACTACACTTTGCTAAACAACTTTGACAGTTCGTAGCAACTAAGGAGTTTACAAGTTGGTTTAAGTGAGAACAAAAAGTGTTTTGTGAGTACTTAAGATTGGCGAATATTGTTCAGTTCAGTTCTTAGAACAATTAAAATTTTTATGTAAATATGTTTAAAAGTCATAAAGATTATTGTATAACCTAAAACTACGTTATCGCCCTTTCTCACTCTAGGCCACGCTAATCATTAGTCTATAGGTTTCACTGTCTACGTACTGGGTAAAGCTAGCAGTTGGCAACACTGCCTTTCAGTAGAACCAATTTAGGCAAGTTTTCTCCGTTAAGCAGATGTATGCGAACTTAAAACAGCTTAAACAATCATGAAATCGACATCTTTAGCGACCCCGAACGTGTATTTAAAAGAAAATGTAAATACTTACTGTTACCTGCCTTGCCAGATTAATGATCCAAAACTATTATTTATTGTAATTATTACTGGATGTGGTGCATTTACTTTAATTGATTAGTTTGATTTCTTTTCGTTTTAGAGTTTATATGTTGTTTAGTTTATTTTTACTCTTATAATGATGTATACACCTGTAGAGACATATTCTTTATCTAAAAATGTAGTATTTTGATTATAACAATGTTTATTGATATTGTCGATGGTGTATCTATCTAAATAAATAAATAAACATGTGCTGAAAACGTTTTTAGTCTTCGTCTTAGGTCTGCTTGGGTGTCGCAAACAGAGCGGAGCACGAAACCTGCTGCCCGATTAATTAGTTGTTACTTCAGTGGTAGTGACAGTAATGCGCCATGATAGTTCTGAGACACTGCCTGCTGAAAACTTCACACTGTTCCCACAACCCAGGTTAGATCACCGCCGGCACCAAAGAAATTATTGCACTTTAAGTGCTGATTACTACTGATACTAATAAATCATGGAAGAAATTATAAATGCACTTAAAAAAATACAAAAAGAATTAGACGAACAAAAAATTATGATTCGTAAAAGCGGAGAAAATGTAACAGAACAAGTAACACAGAATTTAAATAAAATATTAGAAGAAAAATTTTGTGTATGGGAAGAAAAACATAAGAAATTGGAAGAAAGAGTTGCAAACCAAGAGAAAAGACTGTACTTCTTGGAAAAGCAGGCAAGACAACGAAATATCGTATTTTTTGGTATTTGAAAGAATCATCGTATGAAAACTTAGTGAACAATTTTATTAAGATAATAGAGGAACATTTCTCTATTAAATTAGATAGTAGAGATATCCAAGAAATGAAGAGAATAGGAAAAAAAGGAGACAGACCTCGCCCAATAGTAGTAACATTTACAACTCATGGTCTGAAGAAAAAAATTTTTAAACAAAAAGGGGCACTAAATGACACTCAATATTATATGAAAGAAGATTACCCGGCATATGTTTTACAAAAAAGAAAAGAATTACAGCAACAACTAAAAATAGAGAGAGAAAAGGGAAATAACGCAATCATAAAATACGACAAACTAATTATACTAAAAAAGAACAATAAAAGAACATTGTCTACCTCACCTGAAAACTTTTTCCATTCACAAGGACACAAAAACATGCAAGCCAGTAAGAAAAACAAAACTCTAAAATTGCACTCATCAGCTCCGAGATCCAATAGTATTTCTGAAGGAGTTTTGAAACCTGGCATGCTGAACTATTTAGTTAATAATAATACCAACACAAAAACAGACAAATATGACAACAAAGACAAAAATACATAGCAACTAGCACCCCTCTCTACTACAGATTTTATAAAAAAACAAGTCCAATCAAGCAATATAAAATATCTTCCAACCCGGCTGGTCACCGTGGAAGATTATGACCACCACCCTCCAAAGAAAGACACGTTAAATCGGCGAAAGCTTAGAACACCTGCGGAAAATAAGCTCTACATAGCAACATACAATGTCAGAACACTTGCCTCTTATGAAAGATTAATTGAACTAAGTAAAGCTCTAGATAGAGTCAAATATGACATTATTGGTTTGTCCGAAGTTAGACGCCTTGGAAATAAGATAAAAGAATACGAGGATTTCATACTTTGTCACATAGGCCATACGCCAGGAAAACACGGAGTAGGCTTTCTACTAAACAAATCTTTAAAACAAAACATTGTAAGCTTTACCGGCATCTCGGAAAGAGTAGCACTGCTGAACATCAATTTACAGGGATATAATTTAAGCATAGTTCAAGCATACGCTCCCACAGAGACAGCAGACGAAGAAGAAATCACGGCGTTTTATAACTGTATAGACAAAGCATTGGAGTCAGCAGATAAACATTTAATATTGATGGGAGATTTTAATGCAAAAATAGGACAACCACTAAAAGATGAATACAAAATAACAAAACAATACGGATATGGGGAAAGAAACGAACGAGGCCAGAGGTTAACAGTCTTTGCTTATGAAAACAGCAGATGGACATGGCGCTCTCCAAACGGAAAATACAAAAATGAAATCGATTATATACTTTCTAATCAACCAAAAATTTTCCTGAATATAGAAACACTAAACTTGAATTACTCCTCAGACCACAGAATGGTCAGAGCTACGGTAGCGCTAACAAATATAAAGAAAAGCCGAATAAAATATACGAACCATCAAAAGAACATTCTTAAAACAGAGGCAGAAATAGAAAAGTACAGAGAGAACCTAAAAAGTCATCTACCAGCATTACTCACCTATAAAACGTCAGAAAAAATACAAACCTACTATGACAAATTACTAAACATTATCAAATATAGTATGCAAAATACAAAACAAGAAAAAAACGCCACTACGAAACAAAGAATTTTAACAGAACGAACCATGTCACTAATGAAAAGAAGGCAAGAACTACAAAGAAAAAAAGATAAAACACGATCGCAAAAAAATGAACTCAGCGCTCTATACACAACTAACATCTAAGTATATTAAATTCGATTACCGAAACTACAGAACAAATATTATACAAAAAAATATTGGACAGGGTAAAAGTCTCAAAAAAGCATATAAAGAACTGCGAACAAATACATCCTGGATTGAAGGCCTGAAACAGCTATAAAAAACATCACACAACCGCAAAGATATTATTAATATTGCTACAGACTATTACCGAAACTTGTACAATACCGAACAAGGGACAGAAAACAACAAAGAA